ATTTTTATTTTTTGGATAGACTTAGATCCTTTCATGTAGGAAGATAGATGGAAAGCAGCTCTCTAGCAACAGTACGGAGGGAACAACTGACCTCGAACTGACCTAACACTGAAGACCTAACCTTGAAGCTGTCTGGGTCTTTGGTAGTCCAACTACTAAATCTATAGAGATGCCTTCCCAAGATCTCTTCGGTACGGGTATGGATACACTCCTCTTGCCACTTTTTTCTTCCTGACAAAGACGAAACGCACCCTAAGAGCTCTATCTTGCATTAGGGAGTCGGGGTTCTCCTACACCACCCTACTGTTTGTTCATAGGGGGTCTCCAACCATGCGGAAAGCCACACAATCGCAACAGGCACGATGTTCTCACAACCCGGAGTAGAGTTATATGGATTTCATTATTTATGACTGACATTCCTTGCTTGTTGGACAGGAACTCTTTGATTCAAGATCCCCTTCTACTACTGGCCAGTAAGATAAGGGACTATCTAGTTTGATCATTTACGAATTGCGTAGATAATCCTCAAGTGATAGAAAGGTTAGAAGACAGAGAATTCGTGGTTGAGCTCCCAGGCAAGCAAGCTATTGATGATGGCTTCTGTGCTACTCGAGTAACTTGTGCTGAGGTGGCTGTGACTCAAAAGGTTTATGTATTATTTTCCCAAAAGAAATGAAATTTACGTGATGCGGGAACCTACTTTCCCTAGATCCGGATTGTTAATATCGAAACGGAGAATTCGTTACCTTCCGTTATTGCTTACTTTGCTAGCTAGGTATTTCCTATTTTGAGACTCCTTACTGAAGTAAAGGAAAAGGCACTTCCAAAGAGCTGACAAAAAGGATTTCAAGTCCCTGGCTTTGCTCTAAGGATTTCAAGTCCTTTGCTCTAACCGGCTAAGCATCATCGGCTTGGTCAGCCTTTACCTAACCAACTACCTAATACTACGCAGGCTCATCAAACAACTAAGGATGAGGAACTTGTGCCAGAGCTAGAAGTGAGTCCGGATTCGAACCGCAGACAGAAGGATTTTCAGTCCCTCGCTCTACCAGAGCTACTACCTGTCCTCACTTGATGATCTAAAAACGATCTTTCTTCTCTTATGAAATTGATAGTTTGTGAGATCGATGCAATAACTCGACTGTAAGGTCCACCAGGTCCGTAGGAGAGTCAGTCTTTCTCTAAGCAAGCTGTTTTCTGGCCTATACGGAAAGAGTTTTCAAAGAGGAACCCAGCTCTTCTCCCCTCTCAGCGGAGAAGGAGGAACCAAGCTTCTCCCCTAAAGGAGAAGGGAGGAACCCCTTTCCTTCCGTCAGTCTCCAATTTTCGTTAGTTCTCTCTCTTAACAGAGCGGAATTCTCCCAGGTTTCAGTCTCTTTCGCTTACTGACGAACGGAGCACTCGCATGTCTTTAATACTAAATATATCCCTATTCACCACATAGGAACCGGCCGGAGCTTGACTAATTACGAATCATGAAATGTTGACCGAACAGTAAGCCATTTACCTGGATCCCATTTACCCGATGCTGCAACCAGGACTTTATTATTGACTGGACTCTCCTATACTCGGAATTGCAGGTGGAGTTTCAATTCTCTCGTGTAGAGCTATTACCAATATATCGATCCTTCTGATGTTCACAGTTTGACTTGTGGTTAGACTCTTCCTCTAAAGAGTTCAACTGCTTTGTCCCTTCCGAAAGTGGTTTACATGGGGCTGGTAGGTCTCTGGTTGTGACCCCCGGAGGAACCCTGGCTCTAAATAGCAAGACTCGGTTTTGTTCCGTTTGATTTCTAGTTGGGAAAGCATAAGTAGCTGCAACACATAAGATTCTATTTCACCAGTGCCCGGGGCGAGTAGTTCCCGTTGCAACAAAGTAAGTCGTTTTTGCCACTTCTAAGGTTTATTCTAGACTCGATCTCTTCCTGTAGCTCATGAACTCTCATTCAGAAAGATTTATATCATACAGCAGTGAGCCTTTTTGATCCCAAATACATATAGCACGACCGGGTTGGTTCTTCTTTTGTAAATCGTGTCAATAAATAAGGGTGAAGAATCTCCTGTTGCGTGATATCAGATATCACATGGAGGAAGACAGCTGTGGCGCCCACCTGCGCTGGTCCGCGTCTGACTACTGTTCCCTAACTTACATTCCATTCTCAGGATTTGCTTTCCCTTACAAAACTATCATAAAACTGTACAAGCATAAATAGTGAAAGATCTCCTTCGGACCCTCACCTCAATAGTTATCTTACTAGCCCACGGAACTCATCATATCAGAGTAAGTAAGTAAGTTACCTCAAAAGAGAGTAATGCTTATAGGAGGTCTATCTCCCTTCTGTCATGCCCTTCCCTTTTTGCTTTTTTAGTAAGAGCTGCCTCCTCCTTGCTGCTCGCGCTAAAGCAATTGTAGCAGCTACAGTAGGAGAAGAATGCCGACGGCTTTCGTTGTTTATCCAGTAGTTGAACTTTCGGAATAGAATAGGCTCAATGACTTTGCCTGCTTTCTTGCTTGCCCCGCTCTCCTTAGAAGCGTTGGTTGAACCGCTGGACTCTATCTCCGTTGATTACTATTGGATGGAGCTATAGAAGCTATTTTACCTACGTGAACACTTAAGCTAGAAAGAAAGTAGTATTTCTCATTATATAGAAAAGCCTTGAACCGGGTAACCCGTCATGGGAAACTTGGCCGAAGAACACCTCTCACAGAGTCATCGGTATCCCTGATAAAAAGAATCAAACGTCGAATGGTCCGAATGAATGCTACATCAGGAGCCGAGTTTACTTCACTCCCGGTGACCCGCCGTCGTAATAGCACTGTGGGCGGAAGTTACTATGTGATCACGGCTTCCGACACTGCATTCATCCAGACAAGCCCTTTTAGATAGGGCTTTTCGAGTAGAGAAAGGTGGAAACTCTTTTCATAGAGAACCCCTTCTGGACCAAAGATGGGCATCCCAATCACTTTTGTCACAACCAACTCTTGGCAAATTGTGTTCATAATATATTCAATAATGGTCTCGAGCTCATCTGTAAATCATGGCATGGGTAGAGAAGAATGGCTAGCTATCCTTGAGTGACACATCGCAATGATTGTATCGAAGACGGGCGGAGGAACCCCTTACTTTACTATATTATATGTCACCATCCAATCTTGGTTATATTATGTCAATTCTGCCTCATCGTGAATGAAACGTTTTCTTTGAGTCACCCATTCTGGACGACGAGAGGAATGGTGAAATATACTTTTTAATGGGTAAAATAAATCTCTGCTTCGTTGCCAATTACCGTCCTGCTACCAACCAAAAAGCCACTTAGACTGATGTGGAAAATTGATCCCCGAGTGGCTTTTTCCTCCGGTCGAGTCATCTTTCAGTTCAATACCTGGAACTGAGACGGATTCGGATGGAGAAGGATTCAATAGTTCATCATGAGCTGTCCGAAACCGTACTTCTTCCCGCGAAAACTCGGAATTAGCTTTAGCTCGAACCTTGATCTGTTGCTCGAACTCTAATACACCGTAGTAGCAGGCGGCACTCGAGTTCTTTGTGCCAGGTGTCAGAAAAAAAGTACGCAATTTCCAAGCATCCTAGTTCAGCGTGAATCATCTCTTGTCTCAATGGAAGGCCAAGGCCTTCAAAGCGGATTCCGCCGGAAGCTAATCCAGTGGCTTGTTGAGTGGAGGACCGAACATGAATTATACCCATAAAAGGTCCTTCCTACCCCTATTCCAAAACCCCTTCCCCTCTGAGGGCACGGGCACACTTTCAGGAAGTAATGTAGTAAACAGTCGAATTTCAAATAGAACTATGGTGACCTTGCAAAAAAGATCTTTTCTTCGTTTGAGTGTACCTTTCCTATGACTATTAATCCTTATGAAATCCGTGAAGTTTTGACCTTGTTTTAGAAGCTTTCTTTGGCGTTGAGTGAATATTGGTATCACTACCCTTCCTTATCTTCTTCTTTTATTCATAGGAATAGAAAGCACGATTAAGCGGTTTTTCAATGGCAAGTGCCGGTCGTCGAGTGGCTGAACCAACCCCTACGGCGGATCCACACGTACTGATGAATGCCAGCCATCCTTTATCGAGTAGCCTTGACTATTCAAGTACCCTTGCTGATTTGATAGCCTGAAAAAGATCGACCACGATTTTTATTTCTGACTGCCTATGCCTCTAACGATGCTTCGGGCAAACTGTAACTAACTAGGTGCCCTACTCCTACCCCCCCCTGTTCTCACCTTCATCTCTGCTGCCTCCGCTCCAGCTTGCTCTATTACCTATGCAATCACAGCTCAGTAATGGACTGGTGAACTAAAATGGATAGCTGCTGGGAGAATTGCGACTGATGAATCGCGATCAGCCGCTGATTCCCCTGCCGTTGGATTCGTGCCTCAAGACTCTGCCACTGGGACTCGGTCGGAAGAATCTACTGCGGCCTTCTCTACCCACCTTTATCTTTATGAAATTCTAACCTCAACCAGCCATGACAAGGCTTAATTTATTAGAACCCGTTGTTGTTTAGAAAGATGTGTTATTCCTGTGAAAGTCTCGTTTTTGACTCAGTTTTTTTTGAGCATTGTACACGGGCTTTGCTGCGACGAGGATGCCTTTTTAATAAGGCCAACGTCAAGACCTGAAACAGAGCCCTACCACGTTAAGGGAGAGCATCCCAACTTGCTTGTTGACACGTAAGGTAAAATAAGAATCTGAGGTGGCAGGATTTACCACTATAACCCTATGGTAGTGATGGTTGGTCCCAGTACTCCTTCGAGTGCCTTTTGCGCTTAGCGTAGGAAAGAGGAGTTGCCTTGCCTTACCACACCAACCACCTTAGCGCTGGAAGTTCTAGCAATGGGCAGCTAGGCAAAGGATAATTAGCTATCTAATGAATATTCATTAGATAATAGATTGTGGATCTGTTCTTAGCTCGTGCAATCAATAAAAAGCGGTCCTTCGCCTTAGTAAGCTAGCTTTCTAAGCCCGGACGTGGATCGATCGTGACGAAAAAATGGGACTAATCCTCTGTACTGTAGTAATAGAAGAGTCAGAGTCCCTTCTCGACCAGACGAAGGAGATAGGAATGGAATTCTGCCTTGACCCTCCTGGAGGCGCAAAGTTCATAATTCAGTGTGGTGGGGCCTAGTAGTATTATAAGGATGTTGGTTTCGTATATAAGAAGACTGCTGCTTTTAGGAGAGTGATCTGTTCATCTAACTCAAAATATTGTAAGAAGAAGAAGAATCTTACGCCCCAAATTCCCATCTCTTTTTTCTTGGTTGGACCAACCGGCACCAGCCATTTCCGTCTTCCTTAATTGGGAGAGTCAGAATCAGTCTCTCTTTGTTTGGGGGGAGCAGAAAATGAAGGAACCTTTGCTTTGAAAATGATTGTTCTAAAATGGTTATTCCTCACAATTTCTCCTTGTGATGCAGCGGAACCATGGCAATTAGGATCTCAAGACGCAGCTACACCTATAATGCAAGGAATAATAGACTTACATCACGATATCTTTTTCTTCCTCATTCTGATTTTGGTTTTCGTATTATGGATCTTGGTTCGCGCTTTATGGCATTTCCACTATAAAAAAAATGCAATCCCGCAAAGGATTGTTCATGGAACTACTATCGAGATTCTTCGGACCATCTTTCCTAGTATCATCTCGATGTTCATTGCTATACCATCATTTGCTCTCTTATACTCAATGGACGAGGTAGTAGTAGATCCAGCCATTACTATCAAAGCTATTGGACATCAATGGTATCGGACTTATGAGTATTCTGACTATAACAGTTCCGATGAGCAGTCACTCACTTTTGACAGTTATATGATTCCAGAAGAAGATCTAGAATTGGGTCAATCACGTTTATTAGAAGTGGACAATAGAGTGGTTGTACCAGCCAAAACTCATC